GCAGTCGCCCGAGTCTTCAACGGAACACGTCAACGCCATCACAATGAAACGGGTTGTCGCTGCTGGAGCTGACGTGTACGCAGTAGACATCGCAGTAGTAGAGGAAGCTTAGCAGCCGAGTGATTTCAAGAAACTGCTGGCAGCCGTACCGCCCGAATTACAGGAACTGTTGAAACGATACCCCGGGATTTTCCCCGACGACTTACCGGAAGGACTGCCACCTCAGCGAGCACATGACCACCGAATGGAATTAGAACCGGGGGCACAGCCAACCGTACAGCGCCAGTTCAGACTGACACAGCCCGAGCTCGACGAACTAAGGAAGCAGTTAGATTACCTGTTAGAGAAAAAATTCATCAGACCGAGCTCGTCACCGTTCGCCGCACCGATACTATTCACGCCGAAAAAAGACGGGGGTTTTCGCATGCGTATCGACTACAGAGCACTGAACAGGGTAACAGTCAAGTCGCGGTACCCCATTCCCCGCGCCGACGAACTGATCGACCAACTGCGAACGGCACGGGTTTTTTCGAAAATAGATTTACGGGGAGGCTACCATCAGATTAGGGTCGAACCATCGGACTGCGCAAAACAGCTTTCAGGACTAGGTACGGGTCGTTCGAGTACACTGTGATGCTATTCGGGCTGACCAACGCACCGGCGACTTTTCAGATGACCATGAACGAGGCATTTAGGCCACTCTTAAATAAATGTGTAATAATTTACCTCGACGACATCCTAGTGTACAGTCGGGATAAGCAGCAGCACTTAGCAGATCTGGAAGCAGTGTTTAAGGTTTTAGACGAGCACAGATTACTGACCAAGGGTTCCAAGTGCGAGTTCTTCCAGGATAGGTTAGAATTTTCGGGGCACGTGATTTCGGAGGCTGGAGTTGAAATCGACCCAAAGAAGCTGGATACGGTAAAAGCGTGGCATCCCCCGACGAACATCACGGAGCTGCAGAGCTTTTTAGGGTTCGTTAATTATGTGCGTCGGTTCGTCCCCGAGATGGCACGGTTAACTGCCCCACTGACGGATTCACTGCGGAAGGGGGTCGCTTTTACGTGGGGGGAGAAAGAGCATGCTGCCTTCTCTGCCCTGAAAAATGTTCTCTGTACACCGCCCGTCCTGCGCATCGCCGACCCACACCGCCCATTCGAAGTAGTTACCGACGCAAGCGATATCGCCATCGGAGCCGTACTGCTACAGGATTTCGGCAATGGCCTACAGCCTATCGCATGCGAGTCACGAAAACTGCATCCGCCCGAGAAAAATTACCCGATACACGACCGCGAAATGCTTGCGATCGTGCACGCGTTCAAAGTATGGCGCTGTTACTTGACTGGCGCGGACGTGACAGTACGGACAGACCATAAATCACTATAGTACCTTCGCGCATAGCCACACCTCAACCCACGACAGATTCGCTGGCTCGATTTCCTCGAGTCCAACTTTCACTATACGGTCACTTACAAAAAGGGAGCCTCAAACATCGCCGACGCACTGACCCGCCCCACTGCCCAGATCCACGCAATACTACTCGCCCAGACAAGCCCGCTACTGACAGGCCTATTCACCCACGGGTACCAAACGGATCCATTCTTCACAGGAGGAAATTCGCAGCAGTTCGCAGCAGCAAAGGGAGTCTATTACGTGAAAACCGTGATTGACCGCATTTGGGTGCCTGGGTATACACTGCTACGGGAATTACTGTTACAACGGAGTTACCTCGGGGCATTTCGGAGTAGAAAAAACACGGCAGCAGCTGCAGCGGTATTATTACTGGCCCGAAATGTTGACCGACGTACAACGACACGTGGCATCGTGTCCCACTTGTCAGCTCATGAAATCATCACGACAGCGGCCGGCGGGACAGTTGCAGCCGATACCACCCCCAGAGCGTGCTTGGCAGCAGGTGACGATGGACTTCGTCACGGGGTTACCGGCCGGGGCGAGTGGAAACGACGCGATCCTGGTCGTCGTCGATCGACTGACGAAAATGGCACATTTCGCAGCCTGCAAAAAATCAATCACAGCCGAAGAAACAGCACGCCTCTTCATCTCCACCGTCGTTCGACTGCACGGGATACCAGCCGCGATCATCAGCGACCGCGACACGAAATTCACCAGCAACTTCTGGCGGAACCTGTGGCAGCAGTTCGGCACGCGACTGCAGTTCAGTTCATGATACCACCCCGAAACCGACGGACAGACAGAACGGACAAATCAGACCATGGAACAGCTCATCAGGGCCACGTGTGACGACCCGACCACGTGGGAACAGCAACTGCCACTAATCGAATTCGCGTACAACAACTCGCCATCCGCCACGACCCAACAGTCACCATTTTACCTAAACTACGGACAAGACCCGACAGTACCCATGACCCCGAATCCCGACAACCCAGTACCACGAGCACAACAGTTCGCCGAAATATTACAAGCGGCACGGACCCGGCAGCAGACGCAATAAAAAAATCGAACATCATCGCTAAACGCAACGCTGACCGCCACCGCAGACCTGTCATTTACCAGCCCGACGACTTAGTTTTACTTGACACCCAGAACCTCCGACTGCCCATCACCCCGAAACTCCGCCCCCGATACTGCGGGCCATTTCGCATAAGCCACATGCTTACACCCGTCACCGCCCACCTCCTCCTCCCTGCTGACTGGTACGTCAGCCCCTCATTCTATGTCAGCCTGCTTCGCCCTTACGTCCCGTCCACGAGCCAACTGCCACGCAATCGCCCAGTCAGCATGACAAGACCACCGACTGAACCAATCATCACCCCCGAGAAAATCCTGAGTCACAGAGTTCGCGACCCTCGAGGAGCCCGAAGGATCGAGTTCTTACTCCGCTGGAAGGACCGTACACCCACCGAAGACAATTGGGTTCCCCTGGACAGGATCGAAAACCACCCCGTCCTCACCGAGTATCTGCGCAGCCGAAATTTCAGGGATGTTCACGCACTTTCGTAAGGAGGACCTCCTTAGGGGGGGAGGGTAGTGTAAGGAAAATTCCTTTTCCTTACTTCGCATCCCTGCTCAACGCGTACATCACTGTAGCACCACAGTCAGCACCGTTACCACTCGCAACCCTCGCATCGACAATCCGCCCGCCACCTTCGCACATCGCACCCCGACCTCACGGCTCGGCGGGTAACCCGCGCTCCGGGCCTCCGCTTCGACACTTTTTCCCAACCTCAGTCCCAGGCCCGTCGCGCGACAACCACAGTCCATTACCGTTACCACTGTAGGTTCGCTATATATTCTTCGCTCATGCCTTCGCTCATTGTACTCTTGCTTAGATAGTGCAATTCTCGTTCGTTCACTCAATTGCACTCGTAACAATAACTCGTAACATTCCCTATATCAGATACCCAAGATGTGCCCTAATGAACGGACACTCTCACATTTTGCCTGGCTTTTGGAATTCCGATGAGTCGTGCGCGAGTGAGAGTCCATCCAAAGCTACGTCACAGAACCAATCATCTTCGAGGCGCGTCCCTGCACGGGTGCACCCATTGCACGGCTGGCTGGATGCGACCGTCCCCCGGGCTGAATGATGCCACATATTCTGGCCCACAACCCTTCACTTCACCGTCCAACACCGAACTCAACATTGCTTCGTTCTTTCTGGAGAATTCTTTTGTGCTTCCGGAATGTTCTTGGCCACAAATATCCGCGTCTGAGTGACTGATTTCACACATCAAGCCAATCAAAAGCCAGATTTTCACGTCAGATACAGTGTATTTGGCTCCGAGCCCCCAACCTGAAAATGTCTCGTGTCTGCCCGTGCCAACTTCAGAGCCGCAAAACATTTCCATTTCCACGTCCTTCCCTGAGGAGCTTATGTGCGTTTGCCGTATAAAACTCTGACTGCTTCTCGAGGTAGAAAGTTATTGACGAAACCCTAGCGCCTTCCTTCATAAGCTTTTATAAACTCTCTGATACTGCCTGTGACGCGTTTCTTGATATTGCCTCTGACGCTTCCGACGTCGAGTGTTGTTTGACGACCTTCCAGCCGTTATGGCGATTATGGCGGTGGTTCTTCTCGTGGGGTTCTATGCAACTGTCACCACGACTGTCGCTGTTGTTGGCTAGCCTGCAATCTCTCATAAGGCAGCATGGCCGACGCACCATGTCCTACCAATAATTCCGTGCTGCCTAAATACATGAAGGATGTTTTCCGTTCACGCGGTGGTTCTTGATTTTTAATTTCCGAAGAACTTCACATCGTCGCTCGTGGATTCCATGTCTTCACAGTTTTGCTCTCTGTTCCGCGTGAACGGAGACAGTACTTCGGTCTTGAGTGCTTTCAGGATCAAGTGCTAAACCTCTCTCATGTCTAGCATCTTTTGTTGGTGTTTTTCGGGGTGCTGTGATGCTTGTAACTTATAAATGTTAGTGGCGCTTTGTTTCTGAAAGCTCCCGTGTTTACACGCTGCTCTTGAGTATAAGAACCTTCGTGACTAGAATTGCATATGCGCAACCCTGTTTCCTAAGAGTTTGATGAGCAGGCTGAAAGGTGTTCCTAAAGTTTCAGTCAGCAGCAATAATTTCAGCGAAAGGAATGTCTTCACAGAAGTTGACCTTCAATTTGTTGCTCCATGTCATTCCTGTTGACTGACCGTGCCCTGCACAAAGAAATCCTCATGGGGGTGCTGTTGTTGTCTGCTCGCCTGTTTCTTTCACCATGACATTGAAACTGGGTGACATCTGGCCTGGCGGGCTTCCTTGGAAAGTAATAAGTACTAAGGGTTTATTTCAACCTCCCGAAGTCGTCCTCCTCCTCTCCATCCTTCCCCTGCATGTGTGGAGCCATGCTGTTGCTGGTCCTGCTGCCATTGCTGCTGCCAGCTGCTACCACCCCTGTTGCTGGCTCGGCAGCCCAGTGCTGGCTCGGTGGTGCGGTGCTGGTTCGGCAACTCGGATCCTTACTGGTAACCACTTTTTCCAATCCATTTCCCAGCTATGAACTAGTTCAAGCCCCAGCACTAGCCTTCCTTCCCACCCGAATCATCCGCTTTTGCATCTCCTGTGGCCCCTGCTGTGCCCCTGCCTGCTGCTGCTACACCTACCGTAACAGGCACTGTAGCAAATGCTGTCTCAGCTGCTGTAGCAGGTGCTGTGGCAGCACATGGAGCAGGTACCAGAACTTCAAGACGGGTGTCAGCTGAGGGAGGTTCACGTGGGGGCGAGCTGTCCCTGAGTAGCTCGAAGCCCAGCCATGGGGATATCCCTGTGGAGGGTTGACGGGGGTAGGGGATAAGGTGTGAAAGGATAGGGGGTGATACACATGTGAACAACGAAAAGGAGAACGAAAAGAGCTAGAAGTAGAAAAAAAAAAAGTGAGAGGCGAACAAGAATCAGCAAAGAGCAAGCCTACAGAACTGCTATGGGCACGAACAGGGACGGACTGGGTTGCTGGTTTTGAAGTGAAGTGACTCACTCGACTCAGAGCCACAGCGAGTGGGTGAAAAGCACCTCCAGTAAGTCGATTTTTGAGTCGACTCAAAAATCGGGTCGCTGGTTTTGAAGTGAAGTGACTCACCCGACTCAGAGCCACAGCGAGTGGGTGAAAAGAACCTCCAGTAAGCAATGAATGCCACGAGGGTTCCTGCAGGGCGAAAGGGAGAGAGAGGGGCGCGGAACATTCTAGATTTCTGCAGGCCTGAAAGCCGAGGGAGATATCCCCGAAGGAGATAATGTGCCTGAACGAGATTTTAGTGAGCAATGTGTGCCATGCAGCCGCATCTGTATGTTACCTTCACATCCCCTCATGGCGTCATGCCCGCCTCACTCAGCGCAACACCAGCAATGATGCTTCCAGGCATGACGTGCACCCAGCATACACAAGCCACACACACTCGCACCACCCACCCATGCCGCCACCCACGCACGCCCCTGCTTAGTTGACTGAGACCACCTCACCTAGAGCAACGCCAGCAAGAATGTCTCGAGGCGCGTTGCTGTAGGTGAGCTGTCCAACGCATGCACCCAGCTTACACAAGCCACACTTGTTCCACCCCCCCACGTCACCCATCCCCACCCACCCCTGCCCCTCTCCAGCTGACTGAAACCACCACCCACCTAGAGCCACGCCAGCTAGGATGTCTCCCGGCGCGTTGCTGTACGTGTCCAGGTCAGCGAGCCCCGCACCAGCCGCGAGGGCCAATGGCCACGCGACAGCTGGCACGCGCCAGAGGTGGCTTGCGCGGAGGGAGTCCCGTAGGCGGGCGGCAGTGAAGTTGTTGTGAGGAGAGGGTGTAGCGATCACCAAAAGATTGTGAGGGGAGGATGTTGCATTGGCATTTGGGTGCCCTGGGGACTGGTGTGATTGATGGGGATGCTGGAGGGGTTGATTGCATTCCTGGTGTGATTGAGTGCGGTGCTGGGGTGAGTGATTGTGACGATGGGAGGGGCGGTGGCTGGGTGAATCAAGGGGAGAGGGCCGCTGGGGAAATGATCGCTGGATGGTTCGGGAGAGGAAGAGGAGGAGGAAGACTGCTGCTGAAAAGCTGACTGCCACGCAGGTAAAGTTGGCAAAAGGGAAGGGAGGGTGGGGATGGGAAAAAATGGGGAACGGGGTGTCAGCATTGGGGAGAGGACAGAGTGGGGTGAGGACAGAGGAGTGAGGTTGGCATAGTAATGTAACGAAGACAAGTGAACGAGGGGTGTCCCAGCACAGGCGCGAAGTGGGACACCCTCTCGGAAGCACAGATTGAGAAAAAATGCTATTTGAAGCTCATTTTAGAATCGTTCGCAGGTGCAATGGTCACTCACCTGCTGCATGGGCGGAGGGGAAGCTCTTGCGGAAATAGTAGAGGTCGGTGGGCGGTGGCACACAGGTGACACCCGCTGGCGGGGAGACTACCTGGAAAGAACGCGCAGATGAAAGGGATCGATGGGGAGGAAAGGAGAGGAGGTAATGATGGGACTCCTGCAGGGAGTGATGCTGGAAGTTCAGGGGTATAATAGGAAGCTCAAGAATACAATTCACAGCAGGAGATGACATCAGGACATGAACATGGCACTGCAAGGGAATTGAAACCACACTGGTTGGGTGCCTTGCAAGCAGGCTGTGAGGAAGCTGGGGCGAGGCCGGCCGATGGCGCACTGGAGGAGAGTAGCGGCCAGCCAGGTGGTTTGTACGGCTGAGAGTAGCCCTGTGGTGCAGTATGTGGGATGATAGGGGGATGATAGGGGGAAAATGGGCGGAAAGGGGAGTGAGGGAAAGGGCGGAGGTGTCAAGGGGGGGCTGGCCGACGGCGCACTGGAGGAGAGTAACAGCAAGCCAGCCACGTGGTCTGCATGGCTGAGAACAGCCCTGTGATGCAGTACGGGGCATGATGTGGGACAGTGTGGGAAAGGGGGGAGATGACAGGGGGAAGATGGGGCGGGGTTGAGGGAAAGGGCGGAGGTGTCAAGGGGGGCCCGGCCGATGACACACTGGAGGAGAGTAGCAGTTAGTCAGGTGGTCTGCACAGCTGAGAGAAGCCCTGTGGTGCAATACGGGGCATGATGTGATGTGGGAGACGGTGAGGGACGGTGACGGATGGTGAGGGGAGGGGAGGGGGGAAGGCAAGGGATGCAGGAGAAAGAAAGAGAAGGGAAGTCAGTGCGGGAAGGGGAATGCAACGGCGGAACCAGTATTGGTGCTGCTTGTAACGAGTATGGATTTGTGCGTTTAGTGGTCTAACTTGTAACGAGTATGGACCTGTGCGTTTAGTGGTCTAGCTTGTAACGAGTATGGACCTGTGCGTTTAGTGGTCTAGCTTGTACCGAGTATGGACTTGTGCAGCTCGAGCAGGTTCCTTTGAGGGAGCAGCACCAGCAGGAATGCAAGGAGGGGAGCCAACACTGAAGCGGTCTGCAGCAATCAGGCCCGTGGGGAGGGGAAGCGCGAACAGAGGAGAATGAAGGCTTTCAAAGAGCAGCACCATCAGGAATGCAAGGAGGGGAGCCAACACTGAAGCGGTCTGCAGCAATCAGGCTCGGGTGGGATGAGGAGGAATGGGGGAGAGTGAAGTGACTTGTGTGAGTCGACTCACAAGATAGCACCCAAACAGCCTGCAGCAATCAGCGTTTGGGGCAGCGTAAAGAGTGGAGAGTGGAGGTTTTTAACAAGAATAAAGAGCCTATAAGGAAGTAAAGAGCAATGGTGATATGATGGCTTGACGAGTTGTCAGCGAGAAATGAAGGCTTTTAGGGGGGATGAAGCGAATATAAGGAGGTAAGTAAGTAGAGGGAGAGAGGCGATGGTGGTGGGACTTACTGTAAAAAAGGTTGCCCCTGCATTGTCAACCACGGGATACCGCGGAGAGTGAAGGGTTTCAGGCGGGATGAAGCGCTGATAGGGAGGCAGATAGAGCGAGAGAACGACGTTGACTGGGAGCAAGCCGAGGAACAGCAACCAATCCGATTTGCTTGCGACGATTGCTCGCCACAATCCTCGCGCATGGTGGTGCTGCGACGACCATGGGCTCTGCGGCGAGGATTGCGACAGCAGCTGCGACATTGAACTGTCGCGTGGCGAAGGTCGTTCGGTCGGGTTGAGGGGTACAGCCAGGTGGAGGCTGGAGCCTGGAGGAATTGAGGCGAGAGAAGCGGCAGCAGGGAGAGAAGCGGCGATACGGCGATTACTTCTTGGTGGCTGCTAATCGCGTTGTAATGCGAACAAATATGGACAAGAGGCACGGCGAAACTGAGGAGGGGACTATGGGGAACCGAGAAGAGGAGACTAAGAACTGACCTCGGGATGAATTTCGAATCATCCGATCATGCGAGCGGTGTCAGTGCGAGTATGAAGTGTTACCACGCCTTCATTCCCTGGTAAAGGTATCAACAGCAACTCGTAATTTTCGTGGGGATGCTGGAATTATATGGAGTCATCTACTCCGCTCGTTCATTCGATTCGACATGCGACGGCGAAGCTGAACGCGGGAGTGGGAGAAGCCTTGGGATGATCAGGGAAGTGTCTTGCGTTATGAACTGGATCAAAGAAATGATTTGACTAGATTTTAGGATCCACCAAAACTCTGTTCGGTTTGTTGCGGTGAAAACGCTAAGAGACCATAACCTCGCTATACCATGCGTAACCCTTCTGAGCCGCACTAGGCGATCAGTTGACCAGTGGCCAAGCCTTGGGATGATCGAATTCAAGCTGGTTGGAGAGAAGCCAGTGACGCTGGCATGGTACTTCCAAGATGAGCTTCAGTGGCTTGTAAGAAATATGGATTGTTTCTCAAACGGGTACACCCGAGACCAGGACGGAACTCATGCCTGACAGCCACAAACCTCCACAATAAGCGCGGCTAATCGAAGGGCGACAGGTGGACAAAACAACACCTTCACAGCATTACAGCCTGTTTTGACGTAGAAATTTCCCTTGTGGTCACTAAAATTGGTTGCCGTAAATTCATTCGCGAAGGCGTAACCCCTGTGCGAAAATGCAGGCTCGGTGTGCAATGCAATCCGTGAACACTACTTGAGATCGCTTTCGCAAATCGCGAACATTGGTGTTTGTTCGAATTTGAAAACACCTCGCTGGCCCAGCCTTGATATTGCTCCCATCCTTCCATCTTTCGTTCTTTCTCGTTTTCCATCCTGATCTCTTTCTCTTTTCCCACTTCCATCGCTTCTTGTAGTGGTTTTCTATGTACGGGTTTTAGTCTGCCCGCAATGCCGCTACTAGGCGGAAAATTACATCCCTTAGCCCAGCCACCCGCGGACTTGGAGGATAACGAGCAGCTGTATATCGTCAGGTTCACGAGAGAAGCATTTCGCAATTACGAGTGAGCATTGCGCCGCTTTTCTCAGATTCTGGCCCCAGCATGTCAGAGCAAACCCTAATTTTAGTTCGACCACCCGAATTCGTTGTTTTCGGCCGAAACCTGCGTAGCACCGCGTCCCGTTCGTCCTGCGGCCCTCTGTTTAGTAGAATCGCAGTGGCAAGGATATGAGAGAGAGATCGGCTCCCGGGTGCCTTCATACCGTAACCAAATCGAAACTGGTTCCACTTTCATAGTTTACACTGTGATCTTTCATACCTTCCGTTCTAGATTATGGTAGAAGCTGACTTACTTCCAGCGCTTGACCTTCCAAACATTTTTCCACAAATCAACATTCCCGTCCTCCCCACTTTCGTGCTTCCCGCAACCTGCTGATCAGGGACTATCTTTCCGCCATTCGACGCTATAAGCAGCGTATATGGACGTGTACCGAGACGGGCCAGGGCGGGTTGACTTATGAAGAGGCACTCAATAGCGAGACAGAGGCGGTTGAGGGGAAGAGGCGGCTGAAGCAGTCGGGTTACAGGGATCTGCCGGATTGGTTCCACAAGATTGCCATCCCTATCGTTCACAAAAGTAAGGCATTTCGTTTTCGCTGCGGCTGGTGTCTCAATTGTGAAATCTCCTTGACCAGCTTTGGTTGGTGGCATATTCTGAGATTTCTTAGGACACGCTTATAGATTGCGGATCATGCCATGTTTTTGAGAGTCTCAGGATACGTTTATCTACTGCGGTTGCTGGTGTAACACGAGGCTCATGAAAGCGGTCCAGTTTGCCATCCTGTCTCAAGGCTGATTCTTTTTGCCTGTCTATTGCCTGCTTTGCCTGATTCGTTGAGCTTTGTATAGACTTGATTAGAGATCGATAAGATCTGATACGATCTGATGTGATGAGATCTGGTCGGTTCTGGTTTGTGCTGGTTTGTTGCTTACACGTCTCAGGCACATGGAGTAAGGTTGCACTAGCTACGTTTCTGAATCGACTAAAAAAACTTCCATTTGATCTGGGAATTCATGATTTAGGCAGACAGAACATGTATGCTCCCTTAACGTTTCTAAGTCGCCGCATGAACTCTGTGTTGATCTAATCCGACATAATTTGGAGACTTGATGTTTCAGGCAAGCTGAGCAAGGGTGCACTTGTAACGGCGATTCAGGACGCACAAGTCGAGAGAGGCAGGTGAGCAAAAGGGGAATCGTGCAAGATAATGGAGGCATGTTTTTGAGTCGTCTTAAAAAGAGGCAGGTGAGCAAAAGGGGAATCGTGCAAGACTTGCAGGATAATGGAGGCATGTGATTGAAGTTAGGCTTGTCTGTGTGTTGAATCAAACTTCTGCCATTTGATTAACTTAAGGCATTCCCAACCCCACTGTTTTCAATTTATCAGCTCATACTTCGCAACTCCTAGTCCCTCTAATCTCGCCTCGCCCTACCCACAGCAACCGCTTTTGCAAGAAACCCATCAGTGCGTGGCTCACCCAATTTGCCACCTCACCTCTCACTTCTCGCCCTGTGTTACCGTGCTCAACCCTCCTCCTCAACCTTGCTCGCAGCAACCGCATATGCAAGAAGCCCATAAACGCGTGGCTCACTCGCTTCGCCTCTCCCAGCCTGCTGCAGGACAACAAGTGGACCGTTGCCAGTGACCTGCGCTCCAACCAAGCACGGATTCAGCTCCTCACCTCACCTCACACTCTCCCACCCTCTCCGGTCTTCCCTCACCCTCTGCCACCCTCGCCCCTCTCTTTGCTCACAGCAACCGCATTGCCAAGAAGCCCATAAACGCATGGCTCACTCGATTCGCCTCTCGCCGCCTGCTCCAAGACAACGAGTGGACTGTCGCTACTGACCTGTGCTCTACGTGTGGATTCAGCTCCTCACCTCTCTCTCTCACCACTTCTGGTGTTCCCTCATCCTCTCTCTCTCATTCCCTCCCTCTCCCTGCTCGCAGCGACCACATAGGCAAGAAGCCGATAAGCGCATGGCTCACCCGGTTCGCCTCTCGCAGCCTGCTGCAGGACAACGAGTGGACCGTTGCTAGTGACCTGCGGTCCAAGTATGGATTCGGTCCCAGCAGGAAAAGTCCTGGGAAGGGCAAGGGGAAGGGACGGGGCAAGGATGGAGAAGGGGGGGGTGAGGATGTTAATGGTGGTGGAGAGGGGCGGGGAGAAGGGTTAGGGGCAGATGGAGCATGGCTCACCCGGTTCGCCTCTCGCAGCCTGCTGCAGGACAACGAGTGGACCGTTGCTAGTGACCTGCGGTCCAAGTATGGATTCGGTCCCAGCAGGAAAAGTCCTGGGAAGGGCAAGGGGAAGGGACGGGGCAAGGATGGAGAAGGGGGGGGTGAGGATGTTAATGGTGGTGGAGAGGGGCGGGGAGAAGGGTTAGGGGCAGATGGAGCAGGCGAGTCAAAAAAACGGAAGGCCTCGGTGGGGAATGGTGTGGAAAAGGGTGGTTCAGGGGTGCAGAAGCAGCAGAAGCGGGGGAAGGAGGGGGGTGGAAAGGGAGGAGAGGGTGGAGGAGGTGGAGCGGTGGCGGTTGGAGGCGAAGGGGGAGTGGGCTTGGTGGTTGGCGAGGGCGTGGAGGGCGAGGGAGCTGCTCCAATAGGGAGATGCCAGTAAGTGCTGCGCTCACCCGTTTGAGTTCCGTGTGTCCGCGATTAAGTCGAGCCACAAGCGTGCGTGTGGAGTAGATAGGAGGCGAGGAGGGAATGGGCTTTGTGGTTGGCGAAGGAGTGGAGGGCGAGGGAGCTGCTCCCACAGAGAAATGCCAGTAAGTGCTATGCCACACGTTTGAGTTTTTCCGCTCGATATGTGTGCAGCCGCAAGCAAGGCACACAAGAACAAATACCCCCTGCTCATGTGCTCCTCCTTCTTCCCCTGCTCTACCTATGTTTCCTTCGCCCCCCCCCCCACCTCTCCCCCTCTCCTCCTCAGTGTGTGCAAGCGCAAGGTCATCAATGGCTCGTCTCCCTGCTGCTCTCGTGCTCCTCCTGCCCTCGCTCATCCACGTTCCCTCCCCGTCCTCCCCCCCCAATCCCCCATCAGTGTGTGCAAGCGCAAGGTCAGCAAAGACAACGTCTCTCTGCTGCTCTCGTGCTCCACCTGTCCCCGGGCCTTCCACCTGCCGTGCCTGCCTGCTGCCATGCTGCCAGGCACCGAGGGAGCATCAGTGTCACAACCGACAGAGTCACAACCCAGCCCAGAGAAAACTCAAGACCCGCAGGCCCCAGGATCGCAGGTTGGAGCAGAAACGAGTGAGCCGCGTCGTGTAGCAACCCCAGGAGGCGGAGAGAAGGAAGGAGGGGGGAAAGAAGGAGAGGAGGGAGCAGGAGGGAAGGAAGGCGGAGGGCAGGCTCTGCTATGTCCCGTCTGCTGGCGAAGGTGTGTGGATTGAAAGAACGCCTCACCTTGCCTAGAATTTTGTCTTTGGAGTCGGCTCAATAGGTGGGTGTCATGAAAGAACGTCTTCCCTTCCCTTTGTAGTGTACAGCTTGACAGTTCAGGAGAGGTTCTTTTCTTCAGGTCGCAGACTGTAGATCGTGAAATACCAGGCGCCTGCATGGTTCATTTGCTCACATTTTTCAAACCTTTGATTGATAAAACTAACCGCTTCCTACTTTCCCATGTTCCTGCGTCCAAACTTGAAACGCAGCCAAGCGAAGCAAAAGCAGAAGGAGGAGCAGAGGAAGGCTGACGAGGTAAGGCCAGGGTTTGGGCCAGATTCAAAGGGCGAAATCAGCAGCACACTGTGCTGTGCTCGTGTTCTTATCCCATGGTCTTAGCTGCTGTCCTGCTTTTTTATGAGGAGCTGGAAGTTAGCCAGAAATCTTCTTAATGCGCCTTGGCGTACGTTTGCAATGCAGGAGCGCAAGTTGCAGAAGCAGCGGGAGAGGGAGAGGGAGAAGGAGCAGCAGCAGCGCAAGCGGCAGTACCCAATTGAAGACCTGGAGGTGGACGAGGAGGAGCGGAGGGAGTTAGCTGCTGCACTTGCTGCTGCTGCTGCCTCTGCCGGTGGTGCTGCCGCTGCCGCTGGTGATGGTGGTGGTGCTGCTGCTGTTGCAGCTACCACTGGTGCCACACCAGCAATCCCGACTGCTGCTCCAGATGCTACCACTGCCGCTGCCACTTCTGCTACTACTGCTTCACTACTCCCAGGAGCCCAATCCGCTGCTCAATCCCTTCTTCAGCCTCATACTCCCTCTCCTGCACCCGGCCTCGCACTCACACTCCCCCAGCGACCCCCACGCCCCACTCCCATGCTGGCTGAAATCGCCCTGGGCCTGGATGCTTCTCTGGGTCTCTCCCTGTGGGGGAAGCCCCGGCGCCAGGGGGGGATGCATGCTGGTGCTGGTGGGTCTGATGCGGTTGAGAGCGCTGCAGTGGTTGGCACGGCTCTTGGTGGTGATGTTGATGGTGGGATGGTGGAGAAAAGAGTGAAGGAGGGGGAGGAGAAGGAGGAGGAAGACAGGAAAGAAAAGGAGGAGGAGGAGAGGAAAAAGGAGGAAGAGAAGGAAGAGGACAGGAAAGTGGATGAGGAGGGTGTTGATATCGATACTATCATTGACCAGATGGTCGATGCTGACATGGCCAAACGGCGCGCTGCCATTGGCCCTCATCCTCCCAACTCACCCCAACTCGAGGCTCCCCATACCTGGGACAACCACAAGAAACCAGAGCTTCTTCTGGTCCCAGACAATGCACCCATGTCCAGCTCTTTTGGTGCCGAATCCAACCACCCCACTCTCCTTCTACCCCAGTCTATGGGTGACGTGCTACAGGTGTTCCAGTTTCACCGGGAGTTCAACCGCTTTGCCAGGATCTCCCCTGTCCCATTACGTAAGCTCGCACGCGCGCTTGCACAAGCGGACGAAGAGCCCGGGTGGCTGGTTTTGTCCGACCTGCACGTTGGGCTGTTCCGGGCGCTGCTGAATCTGGGCGGCGGGGAGGTGCCGGGCGGGCACGAGGGGATTGGCGTGAGTCAGAGGGTTTTGGACCGGTGGAAGAGGCTTCTGAATGCTGCCACGTGGCAGGAGGTCATTCGCAGGTGAGTTTGAAGAGGGGTTTGTTGCTCGAGAGCTCTTTTAAGTGGGGAGAATTGGGGAGGGAGGGCGGAAGGGGGAATGAGAGAGGGCAGGCAGGGGAAGGGGCTAGGGAATTGAAGAGGGTTTTTTCTCTCATCTCCCGCTTTTCCCCCATCTCCCTCCCTCCAACGGTCCTTGCGTTGATTTTCCTTGCGTTGATTTCCTCTGTGTCCTCTCGTCCCCATCTCCCTCTCTCCGCCATCTCCCTCCGTAACCCACACTCTCTTCTATCTCTCATCTCATTTCATGTACCTGATCAAGGCGAGCCCCATGCCTCCTCTGACTTTTGAGTCGACTCAACTCGAAAGTCAGCCCTCCGTAACCCACACTCTCTAATGGCCCTTTCATTGATAGTCAAGGTGTACACACTCTCTATCTCTCATCTCTCCTCACCTCACATACCTGATCAGGGCGAGCCCCATGCCTCCTCTGCTCGCCACCATATATCACTCTCTCTCCTCCTCCATGCTCCCTGTGCCTCGTCATCTCTCCTCTCTCCCCATTCCCTTCCGTCCTCCCTTCTCCTCTCCCTGCACCTGAGCGTGCTCTCCCTGCACCTGAGCGTGCTCTCCCTCCCCCTTTCCGACGTGCTTGACTCTGAGGAGACTCGTGAGATGCTCGCAGAGAACATGGAGGTCGGGATCGGCCTGCGGAGAGGAGGAGACGATATTCCCACCCATGCCTGCTTCTTCTGCTCCCCCCTTCCTCCCTCCCCCCCACACACACAATCCAGGTACCTCATCAGAGCAAGCCCCGTGCCTCCTCTGCTCTCCGCCGTCACCCACACGCTCTCCTGCTGGCCTGCGCTCGCCGTGCCCCCCGGGGTGCACCTGTGCGTGCTCTCCCTCCTCACCGCCCGCACCCCCCTTTCCCCCACGCCACCAGGTACCTGATCAGAGCAAGCCCCGTGCCTCCTCTGCTCTCCGCCATGGCCCGCTCTCTTTCTTGCTGGCCCTCTCTCGCCTTGCCCCCCGGGCTGCACCTCTCCGTGCTCTCCCTGCTGCTCTCCGACGTGCTTGACTCTGAGGAGACTCGTGAGATGCTCGCAGAGAACATGTAGGCTGTGATCGGCCTGGGGAAGAGAAGAGAGGCGCGATTCTCACGCGTGCTTCCGCTCTTCCATTGCTCCCCACCCCCACCACCCTCCCCCCTACCCCCCAACCAATCCAGGTACCTGATCAGGGCGAGCCCCATGCCTCCTCTGCTCTCCGCCATGGCCCGCTCTCTTTCTTGCTGGCCCTCGCTCGCCTTGCCCCCTGGGCTGCACCTCTCCGTGCTCTCCCTGCTGCTCTCCGACGTGCTTGACTCTGAGGAGACGCGTGAGATGCTCGCAGAGAACATGGATGCTGCGATTGAGCTGGGGAAGAAGCGGAGCGTTGAGGTGCTGGAGGAGCGGAGGGTGCGGAATGAGGAGGTGCGGAAGCAGCAGGAGGAGCAGCGGGTGGAGCGGGAGAAGAGGGAGAAGGAGGAGAAGGAGAAACGGGAGAAGGAGAAGAAGGAAGGGGGAAAGGAGGAAGGTGGCAAAGGGAAGGGGAAGAAGAAAGAGAAAGAGAAGGGGAAGGAGGAGGAGCAGGAGAAGGAGAAGGGGAGCGAGAAGGGGAGCGAGAAAGGGAGTGAGAAGGGGGAGTGTGATACAGACGAGGAGGTGGAGTTTCTGTTTGCAGTGCCAGAGGAAGTGAGGGAGTACAGGGGCGACCCCATGGACAGGCGGGCAGTATTGGCGCATAAAGAGAAGCTGAGGCAGGAGGAGGAGCGCATGGGCAGGTGAGGGGTGGGGATGGGCAGGTGAGGGGTGGGCAGGTGAAGGGTAGGCAGGTGAGGGGTGGGCAGGTGAAGGGTAGGCAGGTGAGGGGTGGGCAGGTGAAGGGTAGGCAGGTGAGGGGTGGGCAGGTGAAGGGTTGGCAGGTGAGGGGTGGGCAGGTGAAGGGTAGGCAGGTGAGGGGTGGGATGGCAAGTTAGAGGTGAGACGCATTTCTTAGGCACCTGAAGACCTCATCACAAGTCTTCACCTTCAACCAACCTTCCTCCCCACCCCGGTTTCCCTTCCTACCCCCAACTGCTCAACACAATGGCTGGCAGGCTGAAGAGCGAGTACATTCGGCGCAAGGAGGCAGAGAAGCGAGCTGCAGAGAGGGCACGGACCGAGATGGAGAGAAAGGTGAGGCGGTGGTGAAGGCGAAGGGGTGATGCAATGCAAGGGAGGGGATGATGCTTGGAGGGAGTGGGATTGGAGGCATACAAAGTGATGTGCTCTTTGCTTGGGAAGAGTAGGAGGCTTTGGGGAAGATTCGTCAGGTGCATCCTTGCAGGAGGCATACAAAGTAATGTGCTGTTTTCTCACAAACCCCTGCTTCTCACTTTCACTCCCTTGCCTTTCCGCAGCGCATGGCACAGGAGCGAAAGCGGGAGGAGGAGTGGAAGAAGCGAGAGGAGGCGTATGAAAAGGAGATGGCTCGGCTGGTGGTGCGAACAGTGCCCCTGGGGTTGGATAGGCACTACAACCGGTACTGGTTGCTCAGTGGTGAGCCTAAGGTGGTGTGGGTGGAGGAGAGAGGAGGGATGGTGGGAGAAGGGGAGGTGTGGCGAGGAGGAGGGAGCGGAGGAGGAGAAGGCGAGGGGGGAAGTGAGAGAGGAAGGGTGGGAGGTGAGGTGGGGACTGGGTGGTCTGGTTCTCGCTGGTTCTGCTACACTTACCGCGAGGATATAGAGGAGCTTATAGCGAGTCTGAATGTAAAGGGGATAAGGGAGGCGGCACTGAAAGCAGCGCTTGAGAAGGTGAAGGGGAGGCTTATAGCGGGGATGAAGAAAAGGGGGTCTGGTGTGGGGGGGAGGGAGAAGGGGAAGGGTGGAGGAGGGGGAGGAGGGGAAGGGGAGGGCGGGAAAGGGGAGGAGAAGGAGGAGGAGGTAGAGGTGGAGGAGGAGAAGGATAGTGAGGAGGATGGAGAGAAGAGGGGAGAGGAAGAGAAAGGAAAAGTGGAGGAAAAAGGACCTGGGTCTGATGGGGTGGAGGCGGAGAGAGAGGTGGGGCAGAAACGAGAAGAGGAAGGGAGGTGGAAGGGGGAGGCGAGCCTGATCAGCGAGAAGCTCCGAGAGCAATTGGAGGGGTTGAGAACGGTATTGGAGAGGCTAAAGGCAGCTCCGCCTCCTGCTGCAGCCACTGCTGTGGCTGCTTCTGTGCTCGTACCAGTTCCTACTACTGCTGCTGCTGGTGCTGCTGCTGGTGCTGGTGCTGCTGCTGGCACTAGGAGCAAGGCAGCCACAGCTACAGCTGCGACACCTGCTCCCAGTTGGGGTGTTTGGGCCGCTCTAGTCTGCAAAGCGGCTGCCGTTGCCCCACCTAAATCGGATCAGATCAAGTTAGGGGGCCTTCACAGCTCCTCTGGTTTAGCTGTCTTGATGGGCGGTAAAAATCGTCTTGACTCTCGTGCTCCTGCTGCTGCTTCGGATACTGCAACAGCTGAACCAGCAGCAGCAGAAACAGGAGCAGAGGCAGGAGCAGGAAAGATCGGAGCAGGAAAGGCAAAAGGAGGAAAGGAAGGAGGAGAAAAGGGAGGAGAAGAGAGGGCAGGAGCAGAGGCAGGAGGAGTCAATCTAGTCAAGGGAGTCAGCAGTGAGCGCGTCCAGCTGGCGCGCCAGGTGGCAGCGCTACGGCGGCTGTTGCTGTGCGCTGAGGTGGCAGCTTTCAAGCTTTGTGACGGTGCTCTTGGGGAGGCGAGAGGTGCGGGAGGTGGGAAGGGGAAGGAGGAAGAAGGAAGTGAGGGAGAGGAGAGAGAGGAGGAAGAGGGAGGCTTGAAAGGAAAGAAGGACGCTGGGAAGGCAGGGAAAGGTGGTGGTGGTGAGGGAGGGTTGGGAGCAGACAGGGAGGGGGGAGCGAGGCAAGAGGGGGAAGAAGGGGAGGAGGAGGAGGAGGAGGAGGAGGAGGAGGAGGAGGAGGAGGAGGAGGAGGGAGGAGAGGAGGGGGAGGAGGATGATGCAGCGACAGTGAGTGAAGCGGAGGAGCACGAGGAGGAGGAGGGGCTGAAGGGCCCGTCTGCTTCGCGCTGCTTGTGGCGGTCGAGGCGAGTGCGGCGCGTGTGGCGGAGGGAGGTGATGGGTGCTCGCACGCTCGCCACCCTCACCTATCTCGCTGCCTCCCTCAGGTGTGTTTCCCCGTCGGACCACCTGCCTCTCTCAGGTATGCCCTTGCACTAGCTGCGTCCCCCAGGTATGCTTCCCTTGGACTGGCCTTTGTGGCGCCTCAACAGGAGGAGGTGGGGCTGAAGGGCCCGTCTGCATCGCGGTGCTTGTGGCGGTCGAGGCGAGTGCGGCGCGTGTGGAGGAGGGAGGTGATGGGTGCTCGCAGACTCACCACTCTCGCATACCTCTCTGCATCTCTCAGGTGTGTTTTTTCTTGTACTAGCTGTCTTTTCCGGTTTTGTCGACCATGTTCTCCTTATTCCTTGCTTTGTCGCATTTTCTCCTTCCCAGTTCAACCACCATTGCCCTTGGTGCCTGCAAGCTTCACACAGGGAAGGATGGTGAGAGGAGGGAAGAGGACGAGGAGGAAGAGGACGAGGAGGACGCGGAAGTGCTCGCACTTGTTTCCCTCACTTCTCATGCCTTTGCCCTTTCTCTTTCCTCTCTTTCCCGCCACAGGGAACGATGCAATGCCCTTGACGCTTCCAAGCTTCAGACGGAAAAGCATGGTGGAGATAAAGGAGAGGGGAGAGGAGAGGACGAGGAGGTATCAGATGATGGGAGTGACGAGAGTGAGGAGGGGGAAAAGAGAGGTGCAGAAGAGGTGGAAGAGGGGAGTGAAGGGAGTGAGGAGGCGAAGGGGGAAAGTGAGGATGAGGAGGAAGAGGAGGTGGAGAAAGGAACTAGGAGCAAAGGTGGTAGTGGGGGAAGGAAGAAGCAGGGGAAGAGGAAAATTGGGGGGAGTGTGATGAAGGCAAGGGAGAGTAGGAGAAAGCAGGGGGGCAGAGGCAAGAGAAACACTGAGACATCTGAAGATGAGGAGGAGGAGGAGGAGGAGGAGGAGGAGGATATGGAAGGGGAGGAGGAGGAGAAGGAGGAGGAGGAAGAGGAGGACTCAGGAAATTTGGGGGAGCAAGGAAAAGAAGAGAAGGAAGACCAGGGTCTTACAACGGTTGGGGGCAGAAAGCTGCGGGCGAGAGGCAGTGGTGGTGAGGCGAAGGAAAAAGGGAAGGGGAAGGAACCAGGCCGCCAGGCTGCTTCTAACGGGAAAAAGGGGAATCTGTCTGGCAACCCTGCTGCTACTGCCGCCGCCGTTGCTGCTGCTTTGCGAGCTGCTTCCCCTAAGCTGCTGCCTCCTTCCCTCTGTGCTTCATGTGGAGAGGCAGTGGGGCCAGGAGGGGAGGGTGGAGCAGGGGAGGTGGTGCGGTGTGCGTCGGTGCAGTGCGGTAAGGCGTTTCACCCTGTGTGTGCGGGGCTGAGGCGCAAGGCTGCCAAGGCTGCTTGGTTCTGCACGGATTGCCGCCAGGGTTGGCGGCGGAAGGGGGGGAATGAGATGGGGGGAAAGGGTGGGGGGGCTGGGAAGGATGCGAAGGGTGGGAAGGGTGGGAAGGGCGAAAGTGATGGAGAGGGTTGGAGACAAAGGGGTAGGAAGCGAGGGAGAGGGGAGGATGTGGAGGAGGAAGACGAGGAGGGAGAAGAAGGGGAGGAGGATGAAGAGGAAGATGAGGAAGACGAGGACAGTGAGGAGGAAATGAAAGTGCGTGGAAGGAGCAGCAAAGGGAGGATGTCTAGTAAAGGAAAAAGCAGAGGCAGGTCTGCGATTGAAACCCTAACTGGAAAATCACGGAAGAAAGGGGAGGTGAGTGAGGAGGAAGAGGAGGAAGAGAAGGAAGAGGAGGAAGAGGAGGAGGAAGGTGAGGAGGAGGGAGGGGATGAGGACGAAGAAGAGGAGAGTGGAGAGGATAGTGAGGAGGAAAGAAAAGTGCGAGGGAGGAGCAGTAACAAAAGGATGGATTCTAAAGTGAAAGGAGGAGTTGGTGGTGCTGCGAGTAATGCCCGTGCTAAGAAACCTCGCAGGGAAAAAGAGGAGGACGAGGAGGAAGAGGATGAGGAGGAAGAAGAAAGGGAGGAAGAAGAGGAAGAGTTGAGCGAGGGGGAAGAGGAAGAGAGCGAGGACGAGAGTGAGGAGAGTGAGGAAGATCATGGAGAGTGGAGAGGAAGTGGTGGGAAGAAAAGCAAGGGGAAACTGCTCTCTAAAGGGAAGGGCCGGAGTGGTGGTGCTGTTGATGCAACGAGGACTGGGCAAACGCGGAAGAGAAAAGGTGCAGAGGTGGAAGAGGAAGAAGAGGAGGAGGAGGAGGAGGAGGAGGAGGAGGGGGAGGATGAGAGTGATAGGGATAGTGAGAACGAATGGAAGGTGGAAGGATGGGTTAACAATGGAAAGATAGAGTTTCGTATCGGGAGGAGCAGCAAGGGAAGGAAGAAAGCGCAGATGAAGAGGAGGAAGAAGGATTGTGAGGAGGAGGAGGAGGAGGAGGAGGAGGAGGATGAGGATGAGGAAGAGGAGGAGGAAGAGGAGGAAGAGACTGAGGAGGAAGAGAGTTCAGAAGGTGTTGGTACCGTTTCGTTGAGAGGGAAGAGGATGGAGGGTCGGGAAGGGAAAAGCGTTGGGGGGGAGGGAGGGGGGAAGGAGCAAGAGCGGAAGTTGGTGGGACGAGAGGCAGGGAAAGGCGTGAAGAAGGGAAAAGGAAATGGGAATGTCAAAGGGAAAGGGAAAGGGAGTGTGAGTGAGAAGGGGAGACGGCGAGGGGAAGCCGTTAGACTTGATGACAGCGAGGAGAGTCGTGGCAGTGAGAGTGAGAGGGAGAGTGAGAGTGAGAGCGAGAGTGAGAGGGACAGTGAGATTGATAGGGGTGGAAATGGGCGTGTTGAGAGGAAGAAGGTTACTCGTGGGTCGGTGTCAAGCCAGGAAAGGCCGACCGATGGGAAGGTGAGCCGAAAAAAGCCGACCCAGGAGAAGCGAGCCCAAGAGTCAAAAACTCCAGAAAAACCGGCCCTTGTGGTACTAGGAGCGAGAGGAGTGACTCTTGAGTCGACTCAAAAGTCATCCCAAGTGAAGCAGCCCCAAAAGATGAAGAAAACTCCAGAACAAGAAGAGTCAAAGACTCCAGAACGACCAGCCCTTGTGGTGCTAGGAGCGAGAAGGATGACTCGTGGCATGCTTGAAAACAGCTGGGAGGGGAGGAGAGAGGACGAGGAGAAGGAGGAGGAGGAAGAAGAGGAAGAAGAAGAGGAAGAAGAGGAAGAAGAGGAAGAAGAGGAAGAGGAGGAAGAGGAGGGAGAGGAAGGGAGTGAGGGGGAGGAGAGCAGTGGGGAGGAGGAAGATGCAGGCAGCGTTGGTGGGAAGAAGGTGGGTGATGTGAAGAAGCTGGGTGATGGGCGTGGGACTGGGAAGGTGAAAGCGGTTGGAGGGAGACACAAAGAGACACTCCAGTCGCGTCGGGGAAAGCAGCAGCAGCCAAGAAAGAAGGAGAAAGAGGGAAGAGGAGGAGTAGAAGAGGGGCAGGAGAAGGCAGGAGGGAAAAAGGAGGAGAAGGCAGGAGGGAAAGAGAAGGAGAAGGCAGGAGGGAAAGAGAAGGAGAAGGCAGGAGGGAAAAAGAAGGAGAAGGCAGGAGGGAAAGAGGAGGAGGAGGCAGGGAGGTATGGGAAGGCCTATTCCCGAACGAGAAGGAGAGACACCGTTTAACAGGCAATATGGTCAATGGTTGTGGGTCGGGGTGACTTTTGAATCAACTCAAAAGTCACGAGAAGGAGAGACACTGTTTAACAGGCATTATGGTCAATGGTTGTGGGTCAGCGTATGAGCATATGAGCTTACTGGTTCACCAGCTTGTGGGTCAATGGAGGCATAGCCATTTGAGAAATGCTTACCAGCTTAGAGGCGGGGAGAAGCGAGGTGGAAAGAGGTGAGGGTTAGGGGGTGGGGCTAATGGGGTGGGCTTGGTAAGGGGTTGGGGCGTGGAAAAGGAGGGGTTGTGATTTTTGAGAATTCTCAAAAAACATACGCAGCATGCTGTTGAGACGGCATGTGGGTGTGACTAGCGTGCGATCGAGACGACTCAGTGAGTGAGGTGGCTGATAAGGGACAGGGCAATAAGGGGTTGGGGTGTGGAAGAGGAGAGCGTGGGACTAGTTTTTAGTGTAAAACAGGTTAGTGATGTTGCTGCTACGTTTGTCTGTTGATCTGAGAAAGAGAAGCTCTGAACGAGAAGCTCTGAATGAGGGTCTGACTGAAGGCACCACCACCTTTGATCATTCTCAGAAGTGATTAAGTACGGTATGTTCGCATGCGTTTCCCAGGTACCGCTATGCAATGCATCTGGTAGGTGTGCTACAGTACCGTACTGTAGTTGCTGGGGCATGACATGGCTCGGCTTGATCCATACCGTACTTTGCCAGTGTTGATCCATAACAGTACAAAGAAACAAGAGCAGGTGATAACATGTTCAAGCAGTTACTTGTAAGTGGATGATTACTGGCAGAATCCAACACATGTTGGGCAATTCAAATGTGTTAGCTGTACAAAACAGGCAGCTACTTATCTTGACTGATTTTTTATGGTAAGTGCAACCAAACTAGCACATCCTGAGACGTTTCAAACCCAACCCAGCTTACATACAAACCCACGCCCTCCAGTTACCACGATAAATGCACCACTTGAATCTCGGCCTGTTACTGCGGTTCCAACCTCCTCCATACCTCCTCTTTTGATCATCCCCATCATCCTCATCGTTCTCTATAATGCCTCCCTTTTTACCATACCTCAGAACCTTTCTTCCTCCCCGAATTACGACATTTTTTAGCACTGACAGCAAGCCAGACCCCTCTGCTGCCCAGCCTCGCGTCACTCCATGCTCACTCTTCCTCTCACTCTGCTTTTGAGTCGACTCAAAAGCAGACTCTGCTGCACAGCCTCGGTTCACTCCATGCTGACTCTTCCTCTCACTCTCATCAAGGCTCACTTCGTGAAGGGTCACCTCACCAAGGGTCGCCCCACTACTGCCTCTAGTGTCACCATTTGCAAGCGATTCTTGAGTCTCTTTGAGACTGCACTCCTCTCCCTTCCCTGCTACTCCCATGTCATTGTGACCTGCTTCCCTGCACAAGGCGTCATTGCTTCTTCCAGCAGACCTGCTTCCCAATTCTCCTCCTCGACCTGTAGCAGCAGACCTGCTTCCCAACCTGTAGTGGTCATTGGCCTGTACTCCTCGACCTGTAGCAGCAGACCTGTGTGAACAGCTCCCTCTTTCAGATGTTGCTCCTTGGACCTGCTCGTTTGAATGTGTCCCCTTGAACTTTGGAGATCCCACGGACACATGTGAGAAGCTCTTTTCCACCTCTTCCCCCTGCTGCTGCTGCTGCTTGCAACGCCGTTCTTCGAATGAGAGCACGAAGCATACTGTTGCTGCAGGAGAGGCAGGAGCAACCAGTAAGCCGCTTCCTGTCCTTCGCAAGTGCCCAGTATTCCTGAAGTCAGGAGCGGAAACAGAGCAGGTACTGTTGCGGCTGCTAGTGATATGAACACCGCTTCTTGTCCTTCGCAGGTGGCTTAAATACCTCATGTCAGGAGCAGCAGCAGAACTGGTACTATTGTTGCTGCTGCTGCTGTTGTTGTTGCTTCTATTGCTGATATGATTTCCGCTTCGTGTCCTTTGGAGCTGGGTGGAAGTTCGGATGCCAATGGTAGTGGTGGTGATAGTGGTGGTGCGAGTGCTGCTGCTGTTCATGCTCCTGTAAACGCTGCTGGTGCTGCTGCTCCGGACGTGAATGCAGCGGCGGGTGCTTTGGAGGTGGGTGGGAATTCGAGTGTCACCACCGTCAGTGCTGCTGTTTGTTCCGTTGCTGTTGCTGGTGCTGCTTTGCTGGCCGCTGTGGGTGCCGCTAAAGTCGTTGTTGACTCTGGTTCTGCTCGTGCTGCTGCTGTTGCCGCCAGGACCAGGGCTGGACCTTCTCACGTGAGCAGTGTCGCTGATGTTGGTGGTGACACTGTTTCTAGTGCTGCTTCTGCTGCTGCTGCTGCCGCCAGGACCAGGGCTGGACCTTCTCACATGGACGGTGCTGCGGGTTCGGCGGAGGTGGATCGGAATAGCCAGGAGGAAATTGCTGCATTCTGCTTGCTCTGATTTCTCTGCTTGCACCCGAGCCTGGTCAAGATCAGGGGTACTCCTTGTCCTCGCTAAAGGGTGACTCTTTATAGGTACGAGTATGCCGCCTTCGCCATCAATCAGAGGAGTGGAAAAACAGTCGTCATTATCACAGTCACCATCATCATCACCATTATGACGCGCGGGGGCCCTGCTGCCATCCCCGGCCACGTCGCCGCCCATGTCGCCGCCCATGTTGCCGCCCACATCGCAGCTTGCATCGCCGCCCACAGCGATCGCTGTCTTGGCTGTAGCATGGGGATCAGTTGAAGCAGCAGGATTGCAAGGGCTCTCCCATTCGTGACCGTCAGGAGCAATGGACGAAGTCAAGAGTGCTGGTGGTGTGAGTGGTGGTGCTGCTGCTGGTGTGAGCGGTGGTGCTGCTGCTGCTGCTCGTTTAAGAGCTGGACTTCGGAATCCGGAACGGAACACTCTTGGGCTGAACACCCTTGGACTCGGCAGCCTGGGGAAGTTGAAGCAGTTCCGCCCGGCCTCAGCACAATCTGCTGTACTTTGAGGCGCCTCAAAATACAGCCTGGGGAAGTTGAAGCAGTTCCGCCCAGCCTCAGCACAATCTGCTGAGCGCTCATCAATCCCGCTGGGCGCAGTTCCGCGGACACTGCAACGCGCAGCAGCAGCAGCAGCAGTATCGATTTCCCCCACAGCCTCCAAGTAGACCCCCTTTCCCACGCACTCCTCTCTCCCCCACACGCACTCCTCTCTCCCCCAAGTCTTGCTCACGCTGCTCCACTCCCTCGGGTTCCAAGACTTGGCCTTCCGCCATGCCCTCGCCTGTCCCCCTCTTTGTCTCGCGGGAAATTCTGGGCACTCCTTGGATGTCTCTATCGTTTTACAAGAATTTGCCTTCCGCCATACTCTCCCCTCACTCTTCCCCTCACTCCTCCCCTCCCTCCCCCACTCCTTCCCCCCTTCGGTTCCCAACCATTTCTGTTGCTCCAGCTCGCCCCACGTTCCCTTCTCTTCCTCCTTCACCTTCCCCTTCCCCCTCCTTTTCCCGCCAGATTCATAGAGAAAATCTCTCCCTCTCTTCTTCCTGTTCGACTGACGACGCAATTCCTTCCCTCTTTTTCCCTCCCCCTTTTCCTCCTCCTCCTCTTCCGCCTCCCCCTCTCCCAACGCCAGTTCTTCCCAGAGAGCATCAATATCAACGGGATCCAGATTGCAACATGCCACCGCCGGGATTCGAACCCGGAGCTTCCGCGCGAAACGGTACTTTGAGGCGGCGCGGGAGCTGGCGGAGGGGTGGTGAATGGGCGCGGGGGAATGGGGAGGGGGAGATGTGCTTGCGGAATGCGCGTGCGCGGAGGAAGGGTTGGGCTGCGGGGAACAAACTGATGCGATTGGCTGAGCAGACGGGCCAAAGGGAATGGTAGCTGCAACGGCATCAGCCAAGGACTGGCAGGTGGCTGCCGCAGTGGTTGTGGTAGCGGCAGTAGCAGTAGCAACAGCAGCAGCAGTAGCAACAGCAGCAGCAGTAGCAACAGCAGCAGCAGTAGCCGTTTCAGAAGGGCTGTTAATGGCGGGTACTACACAGAGACTTGAAAACGACTCTGATTCACTTGGATCCTGAGAGCCTGGCGAAGGGGTTGGCTGGGCGAAATGCGGGCTGGTTACCACTGACTCGTTGCGAGGAGAAGAGTGGAGGAAGGGGGAAGCAGCGGGGACTGCTTGGGGGGACGGTGTGGCGGGTGCGGCGGAATTCAGCAGGGAAAGCGCGGGCGGCTGAAGGGCTGCGGATAATGGGGGCTGCGGGGATGCGGAACGGCGCGCGGCCGTGGACCGCGGAGCTTCCGCGTGGAATGCGGAGGGGTTGCGGACGCTGATGGGCAACTCGATCGCGCGCGGGGAAGTGGAGGGGCGCGGTGACTGCGGGGAAGCGGAGATCAATTGCGGGGAACCTGAGGGGCAAGACGATTGCGGGGAAGCGGAGGGACAGGACGATTGCGGGGAAGCGGAGGGGTAAGTAGATGGGGACGAGGGAGACGAAGGGGAGGGGGAATTCGGGTGCGACAGTAGCGCGGACGCGGGCGACGCGGCGGGAAAAGGCGAGGGCGCGGAAGGGGAAGGCGAGGGGGAGGGGGAGGCGGGAGGGGATGGGGAAGGGGAGCAGCGCGGATGTATCGCAGACTGCAGAGGCGTCGCCTTTCTCAGTGACGCCGGCGACGCTGCAGTGGCCTCCTCGCGCTCAACGCGCTCTTTGCGCTCAGCGCGCTCTTTGCGCTCGGCGCGCTCTTGAGCCGGCGTGAGCAACTCCTGGGAAGCCGGCGACGCTGCAGCGGCGACATCGCGCTCGGCGCGCTCGATTCGCTCGGCCGGGGATGCCGCCACTATCGCCGCCGCCATCGCCGCCGCCATCGCCTCTGTCATCGACGCCGCCATTTCCGCCAGCTTGCCAGTGCTTCCCGAGGCGCATTCACTCCCCGCCGCGGCTTCGACGCGTATTGCCTCGCAGCGGCCGCTTCTGAGAACAATCGCTGGGCGGCGCCGCCTTCGAGTCCGGGGGCAGCGGAAGAGCGAATCC